CCAAATCCAGAGAGGCTACACCTTCAGAGATCATCACACTGGAGATTTGTTTTCAATATAAACCGCATATGTAGAAAACAAACATTTGTTCTATAGCAACTGTGATGTTCAAGATTGTTCAGTTTATAATCATAGATATTCACAGAATAAGTAAACTATTACTGGTTTGCTTGCTTTAGAAAAATGAGTGCAACACAGTACAAAAAGCCACTTTAGCTTGGGTCTTACCTAGCCTGAGAATCACAGCAATGGCAGGATTGGCAACATATCTCCAATGGTATAATATTGGCATCTGTATCTCAGAGGCAATCAACAGCTGTATAATTGGACCTAAATCTCACCCAGTTGGAAGGAATGCATATCCAGCACTGTAAACTTAGCCAAGAACCTATGGCTTGAGAGCTCATAGCCCCTGGAGAAGAACCTAATACTGCCATTTTACTAAAGCAATATTGTTTCCAATTGCCTTCTAAATACTGATCCTTATACCCATAGCTAATTGCAGCTCTCACATCTCACCCAAAAAAGTTTCTTTTTTTGCAGTGATAGAAACTATTTGCTCCACATCTCATCAAAATAAAGAAAATAAGCAGCTTCGGGGTACCCTGTTCCAAATAGGACACCAATATCACAACCCCTACACCTAGGAATCAGGCAACATTGTGGAAATGAGGATGGAATGATTGCAAGAGTCTGAGGAAGAGGATACTGCATGATAGTTTCTTCTGGACAGGATGGGCATGTTGCTCCCATGAAGTTTCAACAACATAGCTGCCAGCACAAGATCTGCAAAGACCATAACAGTTGACATGCCAACATGTGGACTGACAAAAATTTCACAAGTTCTCGCCCATAGACTAAAGGTTATGGGTAGGCAATGGATGTTTAAGGAGGGAGAGCCAGGGTTTTGTTGTTTGCTCTTCTTTCTTTTCTTTTCCCCTTCCTTCCTTCTTTCTTTGTTTCTTTCTTTTTTAAAAAGATTTTATTTATTTATTACGTATACAACATTCTGCTTCCTTGTATATCTGCATACCAGAAGAGGGCACCAGGTCTCATAACTGATGGTTGTGAGCCACCATGTGGTTATTTATTTATTACATATACAACATTCTGCTTCCATGTATATCTGCATACCAGAAGAGGGCACCAGGTCTCATAACTGATGGTTGTGAGCCACCATGTGGTTATTTATTTATTACATATACAACATTCTGCTTCCATGTATATCTGCATACCAGAAGAGGGCACCAGGTCTCATAACTGATGGTTGTGAGCCACCATGTGGTTGCTGGGAATTGAACTCAGGACCTATGGAAGAGCAGTCAGTGCTCTTAACCTATGAACCATCTCTTCAGCCCTGTCTTTCTTCCTTTCTTTTCCAGGATCAAGACCCCAGTGCTGAGGAGTCAGTCCTAAACACAAGCAAATAAAGCAACAATAATTGGACTTGTAGGTATATACACACACAGGTACATAAAAAAAAATAGAAGAAGAGATCTTGAATTCCAGGGAAGGTGATTTGGGGGACATTGGAGGAATTATAGTGAAAAGGTAGGGTTGGGGAAAGGATACAAATGCAAAAATAATATGTACTCATATACAAAATTTAAAACCAGTCTTTTCTTGGCCCATGGTTAGTATGAATAAAAATAATTGTGGTGATATATTATTTATGATTTAACAAAGCCACTGGAGATAAAAAGGCAAAGCTAACAATAGCCATAGAAACAGGCAGTGGTGACACACACCTTTAATCCCAGCAGCCATACTAGCTAGCCATAGGGGGCAGGTGGTGGTGGTACACACCTTTAATCCCAGGACTCAGAAGACAGAGGCAGACAGATCTCTGTTAGTTCAAGGCCACACTGAGCTATACGAAATCAATAACATCTAAAAGAGAAAAATCTCACACAAAGGTTATCTCAGCACTTGGGATCACACACCTTCAATCCCACCAATAGGGAGGTGGATACATAAGTGATATGGCTGGGTGGAGAGAAGAATATAAGGTGGGAGGAGATGGGAACTGAGGGGATTGTAGTCTGAGGCTTGGTGGAGACAAGATCACCCATTTTGGTCTGAGGTAGAGGTAAGAACTAGTGGTTAGCTGCTTTGCTTTTCTGATCTTTCAGCTGGAATTCCAATATCTGTCACTGGGTTTTTATTATTTGTGTTAAAATTAATACCCTTGAAGCCTCTGTAAGCAGGAATAAAGTTTTAGCAGAGTAGTAAAAACAAAACAAAATACCAACAATACTCTGCTCTAAGAGGAACTGTTATTTGGAAATGACTAATGAATCTTTAAACTGTTGTGGTGCCAAAGTTGGTATCATTACCTTTCCATCTTTTTTTTCTTATTTTAATAGCTGATTTTTAACAGCAAGCTAAGAATGCACGACACATTGTATGAAAAATTAACCATGCTTTTTAACAAGCTATAAATTGGAACCAGAATTGTGCCCCTCCATCCTGATCTAATTATTATTTTTTTCTCAGTGAAAATACACATTTCCTCTTGAAAAGACTGAGCTTTATTTCATCAGAACTAATACATATGAATTCCATATTCTTGCTTTCTTTCAGGAAGCTGTCTACGAAGGGCTTGCCTTTATTCTAATCCTCTACCAACAACAGTTGTGTCTTTAGAGAAAGAACCTCTAAGACCTTCAAACAAGAAATGGAGTTGTTCTTTTTGTACTAGATCAATATCTACAGATATGCTAGTTTGCTCCTCTGTTGCTGTGATAGACAACATAGGCAAAAACAACATGGGGAGGAAGGGTTTATGTAGCTGACAGTTTACAATCCATCATACGGCAGGAATGCAAAGCAGGAACCTAAAAGCAGGAACTCAAACAAAGAACATGGGGCATGCTGTTTATTGGCTTGCTCCTCTGGTTAGTCTCAGCCAGGACCACCTGCCCAGGCTGGCACTGTCCATGTATGTCTGGGCCTTCCCACAAACATCATTAATCAAAAAAACTCTACCACAGATATCCCCACAGGACAATCTAATAGGGGCAGTTTTTTAACTGATGGTCTCTCTTCCCAGGTGTCTTTAGTTTGTGTCAAGTTAACAAAAACCTAACCAGAAAAGCAAGGTTAGCAACCAAATAGTGCTTTTCTTATAAAAGTCCATAAGCAGAAAAAGTCCATCTTAAGAAAAACTAAGTTGGTGAAAATAAACTGCAATATTTGTTAAGCATGCAGTCAGTCTCCTCTTGGGAGAAAAAAGTAAAATATAAAATCATAGAATTTTTTCTCTTTCAAAGCAAAAATAAACCAAAGGGGTAGTTGCACAACCCTTCAATTTACAACTGTGAATGCTGCAGTTTCTAAAAGTTAGCTGACATCCAGAGGAAGCAAGCTGCAGGCTCATCCTAACAGTTTTTGGTCATCATGCACTGTTCTTCCTCTTCCATGGTTTCTCTCTTGCCATGGCCTACTTTGCACTTGCAAGACTTCCCAACCTCCTGTCATTCAGTTTTGCTCAGGGACAAGCTTTATCACCAGATGGCCCAGAGAGTGCAGACCAAAATAAATGAAAATCATTCTTGAAAATCTGTATTGTTTGTTTCCATTATTGTTAATAACACACACTTGTTTGTTGTTTTTATTCACATGCTGTAAAAACATCATTCCAAAATAAATTCTCAATCAAGACTATTCTCTTGGTGACCAGCAATAACAACTTTCAGGCACAAAGAGAAAAAACTTCTGACCGCGTTTCTGGATTTTTCTTTGCCAAGCCACTTAAATAAGTAAAGAATGAGTTGGTGGAGCCCAAGCTGCCAAAGGAACCCTTTCATGGATGCTTGGGCTTTTACCTTGGTAGAAATTGATTCTTCTGGCCACAATGTCCAAGAGGCTTTGGGTAAAAGGTGTGAAACGGTGACTGACCCCATTACCTTTATCTGGCGGGTGTCCAGAGTATTCCTGTGTTTTAGTGTATTTAGAAGGAAGGCATAGAAAGAGTTGGTAAAGATATGCCTATAGGGGAAAAAATGCCCTGTGAGAGCTCAGGGTTTTCCCACTTTGATTTCCATAATTAGGGGAATACCAATGCTCTCTTGAATAAAGAAAGTGATAGACACTAAAAACCCTTTTCAATCAATGGGCTCTGCACTCAGGATCAACATGGCACTAGCCCCTGAACTGGGGTCTTGAGGTCCATGGACAAGCAGAACAGTCAGTCTTAAATCTCTCCCTGAAGGCTACACTGATGGTAGGGCTGAGTGCCAGGCCCTAAATGTTTTCCTCACAAGGAATGTGTCCCTCTCTTTAATCATTTTAACTTTTTCATTACCTACAGTGTCTTGGAAACCATCTTAGGCTTTGTGTGGGATACAAACAAACACAGTCTTATCTCAAACAATATTCAGAACAAACGGGAAGCCAAGATACATAGATACATAGACATAAAAAGATAGATTAGTAATCAAAGGAAATGATGCCTTATGGTGTTTCTGGAATAGTCTATATTGTGATCTAGGTGGGAGTTATGTGGGTATAAGTATATGTAAAAAAATCAAGCTATATACTAAAAATTTGCATGCTATTTAAAGATAAAATAATAAAGAATTACTTGCTTTCCATATGTATATGTACATGATGTCCTCATCAAATCCCAAAAATGATTGGATATTTTTACAAAGCTATGCACAATTCCAAGAGTGCAAAATAAATAAGAGAGAAAATTGGAGGAAAGGAAAATGAAGACAGGAAATAAGAATAAGTAGGCACAGTTAACACTATTACCCCTGAGTACGTGCCATTAAAGCATGGCTTGTTACTCTTAGTGGGCTACAATTCTGGCTCTGGGCCTATGAAAAGAAGGAGACATGACTCACAATGACCACAAGATCAAAACAAAGCATCAGTTCAGGAGAAGACTAGGTCCTCATTTTGAGGACCAAGAGACTTTTCTTCCATGGATCTGCATGGAAAGAACACTGAGAAATGTACCAGCCCATGTCCCCAAGAGCATCCATGCAACAGTGTGACAGAGATTTTTTTTTATTGTATTTTAAAACTATAATCCACTGGCATAAAAACAGCACAGCTTAGAAAAATAAAACAAAATAATTGCACAAGGCTGTCACAACATAGAGCATATTATAAAGCATCATCCAGCAGAACAGGTATTCTCATAGTTACAAAGCAGAGGAGTAGTGATGTAGTCCAGATACATCCATAAAGGCTTCATTCAAAAGAAAATACTCAGCTAAGCTTTGAATAAAGGCCATAAAGCAGGAGGTGATTTGACAGGCATAAAGGGCAGACCTAGCAGTAAAGGACAAGACCGAGTCAGGGTATGGAAGGAAGTGTGAAATGAAACAAGCAATACGACTGAATAAGCCATAAAATTGGAAAGGAAAATTGAGGCCAGACCTCAGAGACTCTTTAGGCCATGCTAAAAGACTCATTCTTCATTTGTGGGTAAAGGGTAGAGAAATACAAACATACATCAGGATCGTGCCTTTCATAGTGTTCACAAAATATATTATTTAGGAGGATTAATCTTGCTATCTTTGAATAGATTAGAAAAGCAAAAAGGAAAACATGTCTGAAGGCTCTTCCCAAAGGCCTCCCAACAACACCCTTGTACTCAGTCATATCCGAAGCTTATCTGCACTTGATTGGCTTAAGGTAATTGTCCTCAAGGCAACAACGAAGGCCCACCCTCAACCACTGGCCAGCTGGGTCAGCTGGGCTTAGAGTTAAATTTAGGCTGTGGTTTGAAACAAAAACAAAAACAACAGTTTAGGAAACCAGGGAGGATGTTTTAGATCCTTCTCAACACAGCATGGAGGAGAAACAAGAGTTGGAAAACAAAATATTTTGGAAGGGATGGAAAAGAGGGCTACGACATGAACACTGGGTAAAGAAATGCTTGTACTGAAACTAGACAGCCAGGCTGCCTCTGTGGCTTCCCCCCTGAAAAGGTTGTAGGCAGACAGCATCTGAATGAAGCAGGCTTTGCTCTATTGCCAGGCTGGAGTGGTGCTTACTGGAGGAATAGCCAGGGAGACTCCAAAAGTTCCCTTCTTAAAGAGAAAGGCAGCCCCCAAGCTGATTCTGGACCCTTTGGAAGTGAAGAGCTTCCTGGAGCAGTCCTTGTTTCCATTGTTGGGAAGCAGATAGGCTCCTTGGAGAATGTTCTAAATTTGTGTCTCTCAAGGAACCTCTCAATCATAAGCTTTCCGATCAGCACCTGGGGAAAGTTTCAACAAATGCAACAACTTAAGGACCTTGCACCTGCCCTGGATGGCTAACGATGTGTATGCTATTTGTTTCCATGCTGGGATATTGGGTGAAGTGTGTGGGGGTCAAGGGAAGAAATTACCTGTGTCTTTGGAAGTAAACATGAGAAGCTCTATCTGCTGGTCTCAGAGATTTCCAAAAGCTGATGCAGTATCTTGTACTGGAAACACTATCCACTCCTAGTTTTCTCAAACCTGAGTTCCCTCTGGGGTACCATTGAAAGAAAACACCTATCCGTGCCACCCGTGGACATGGCGTGGCTTTTCTAGGTCTCCATCTATGATAATCTGCAGGTCTCATATTTCCATTGTCAAAAAAAAAAAAATGGCTCTTGACTGAGAGTCCAAACACCTGACTTTACATTCCAACTCTACAGCTTCTTCCTTTCAGGACACTGGGCCAATGTACTTGCTCAGGCTTCAGTCTTCTCAGCTGTAGAATGGTAAACAGCCTTTTTCCTGTCCTATGGTGGGGCTGGTATTGAGACTCAAACTGGGAACATGAGGGATACGAACAAGGTTGTGCCATAAATCCTTCAGCAAAGAAGAGAGACCAGTCACATTCACCCAGTGAGTTTCCAAATCCCCTTTTGAAAGGAAGCTTTCATGTTGTAGTCATTTCTACAGTGCCTTCAATACTACTAGTGAAAAGAAACTTTTTAAGTTGAAGCCTTGATGTGGTGTTGCTGCAACTTGATCCGTGGGCTGTCTGGCTGTTTCATAGTTCCAGCTGTGAGGCTGGTGGGGCAGGGGAAACCAGGAACACTGCTCTGAAGCCCATCAAGAATGATTCTTCCTCTGACCTTCAGATCATAAGTAAGGTAAATGAAGATGGGGTCCTTTTCTTGTAGACAATAAACACTTACTTTGGAGATAGAAAGCTCCACTTTCATAATAAACACACATATTGGTATTTTCCCAATTCCAAAGTATTTCTCAGCTTTACATATAATTCTATAGATGTCTTAAATTTCTATTTTCAAGTCCAAAATATCTACAACTTGGCATGTTGAGAAATAGATTTACAAGCCTTCCTATAGCAAGGACTACTAGTGCCTTAACAAATATTGACAGTGGTGGTCTCTCTTCCAATCTTGACCATTTATATGTCTCACCAAGGATGTAAATACTATACTATAATGCAGTATTTGATATCTCTGTTACCAGCTATTTTGAGGTCTGTGTCAATCTACTTATCCTTGTGTCTCCAGCACTAGCTGATGCTCCTCACCAAAAAGGAAAAGGGTGCTCTATTAACATTTATTAAGTGAACGTTAAATATGGGTTATGAATAAAACCTTATTGGATCCTGATATGAGTATTACAAAATGAATATCATTACCATTCTTAACCAAAAATCATGGCTCTGGCTCATATTGCTGCCTTGTCAATTCCTTATATCACAAGTGGCCATGCTAGACTTTTAAAAGTTAAGTTTGCTTGGTTCAGTGAGATTCTAATGAGGGGTTAGCAACAAGCTATTCAAGAAGCAAAAGCCCTGATTTATGGCATGTGTCCCTATCTACAGTATAAATACTGCTGCTATGGCCAATTTTAAGCCACCAAGGTAACATTAATTGTTTCCACGACTCCAGAAAATGTGTGTACTTGGTTCTCACAGACTGTTCCAACTGGCTTTGGGATACTACTGGTTTGACTACAAATTTAGAGTGCTTGCCCCTAAGCCAAGGCCAGTTGTCATATTCCTGTCTTAATGGCTAACGATCTCACCAACAACTAGCTCCGAGACAATTAGCTATTGCAGACACTGCCTGTTGGCAGACTCTGTCTTCCACGCTGCTTTGCAGCTGGTCATGTTACCAACAAACCCACTTAACAGGAATGTTCTTTCCTCCCTTCCTGCTACTTACTTCTGATTTTAGACATGAATTAATCAGAATACAGAATGTTGAAATAAATCAGTCTTCTACTTCCCCCCTTTAATGTAAAGGTATGAAAAGCAACACCTTTTGATAGCTGGTCAGGAATGACTTCTTTGGACTGTTGTGGTTTTGGGGCGGAATGGCAATTGATGACTTGTGTTCATGATCAAATGACTCTGTGTTATTATGGGAGTTTGGGGAAGCTGTTTATCTTCAGTGTTTTCAGGCAGAAAGAAAATGTTTAGAAAACCTTACTGGGTCCCCAAAGTCTTCTTGGAATTGTTTGGGATGTCTTTGGAATGCTAGTGAAATCCACACAGGGTGATTACTGGGCGACTTTCAGCACTGTTAAAAACTCTCACGTTATCCCCAGGGACACTGCTGTGGAACATGCTGTAACAGGAGCGCCAAGCCTCGGGTCAACCACATTGTCTCTCTGTGACTTGGGGATTTCTCAGAGCCAGAAACGTTATCCAAGATTCATCCCTGTGACTGAGGAAAATTGCATCAGCTGCTCACAGGACACCAGATCTTAGTGCAATGACCTGGATGGCAGATGGCAGAGCACAGTTACTGGATGCACGTGTGACTAGGTGTGGTAAAATCTTATTTTTTTCCCTCTGGTTACCAAACAAGTTTTTAAAAAATGTCTGGAAAGATGTCATGTTCAAGTAGTATAATGGTCAGGGGTCAGTTCTTCTGTGTGTTTTTCTGCATATAGCATGTAGGGGCTTGTGCTCAAATTGCTCCAGCCACATCCAACTTAGATGCAAAGAATCTAGTCAGGGTCTGAAGTGTAAGTTTATTGCTAATGGTCAAAAGTCTTCCTCCTTGTATCAGGAATGTTAACTACCTAATTCTCAGTCCTGAAATCTGGTATCACTAAGCTTGTCTTGTTCTTCATTTTCTAGGATATGTTAAAAAAAAAAAAAAAGGAAGACTTGTAGCACATAGACATTCCCTTGTCTTCCATGAAATTTCTAGATTTCAGGAATAATGTTAAAATAACCTTTGTCTTTTCAAAAGTGGCTTGAATGTGAACCATTTGGAAGCAAAGAAAGTATATCCACACACCTTTCTAAAAACTGGCTAATCCACAATTTTAGAAAACTCTAATTAGTTTTCCTCTGGCCAAGGCTACATGCGATCAGGATACAAGTGAAAAGAATATGCATGCTACTCACCCAGATGGCTCCAAGAGTGTTTGATATCTCTCAACATGGAGGCCAAACACCTGGATGGATGCATTCATTTTCACTCTCTAGACAGGTGTTTCAAAACCTTGGAAATCTTGAAATTTTGGAAAAATGATAAATTAATGCAGTATAATTCATATAACTGAATGGGATACAGCAAAAGGTGGAATGGAAGAAAATGACCAATTCTTGTACATCTACATCCTCCCAATCACTTTCTCTCTTATTTTTATATTTAATTCTCATTAAATTTCTATGAGGTACTATGTTTGTCTTATTGACAAGAAAACTGTGCTTTAGGAAGTTGAATTATTTGTGACTATAACAAGTTTTAAGAATGATAATGCTGAGATCTAAAGTTCTTTATTAAGAGTGAACTACAAGTAAATGCAATCACATTATAAGAAATACAATAAAAAAACTGAGAATAGTGGAGTTCCTAAATAAATTCGATAATACAAAGGTGCATGTAACAATAAAATGGAACAAACACTATTCTTGTTCACTGTAAGGAATTTTTAATCTAAGGCTATTATGGGAGTCTATGGATGGGGCAAGAAAACCAGCCCAGGAAAAATGACAGGTCTCTGGGTTGTGCCATGCTTTTCTTTGGCTCTGATCACATTAGGTAAACAAACACAATTGTCTCATTAATTATTTGGTTTCCCTGAATTTAGGAATTTTGAAGAATTTAATAGAAATAACCCAGTTCACCATAAAATATAGGCAGATTATTATGCAAATATTTGAATGCTGATATACTAGACGTATGAGATAAAGATTGGGTTTTATGATTTCTTATAAGTATTGGGTGGGTTAAACTTCCCTCTGAATACAGCCAAAGGCAAGTTGGCCCATCTCTAGGTTCTCAACAATAGATTCATCTTTGGGTAAATAATGAATCATATTATTTCCCATTTATGTGCCAAGGAACATACATTCCTGAGCCCACATGGAAAGGAAATCCAAAACTCCTCCTAGGAGACTTTTATTCTTTAAGGTAAAGTTGCTGGTTCACAGCCAGTGACTGCATGTTCATATAAGAAAGACCCCATAAGCAGACATGATGACACTTCTAGGTAATTATCATGGGCAAAAGTACCCCAGTTTCCCCCATAAAGTAACTACAGGAGAAAAGAATATCTCTTAAGAGGCTATTCGGTATGGCTCTCGTGGTGGAGAAAACATCATTTCTTGGATCTTGAAGATACCTGCAAGTCCATAGAGGGGAACCTAGTCATGAGTTTATATACCTTGGTGGCTGACTTGTAGACTAGAACTAAAGGAAGAGCATTTGTCTCCAAAATAACTAAAAGGATGAGAAACAGCAGGGTGAATGGATGAGTGGGAAGGAGAGGAGGTAAGTATATAACTGTTAGGACCAGTAAGTGAGTGAACAGGTTGGAGATTATGCAAGGGAAAAAGCAAGGGCTGTTGAAGGTTTTCAAGAAGGAAATAAATCATAAAAGAATTTAGAATCCTTTTTATAGATTGAAGTACAAGGAAATTGAACATATTCAATAAGATTCTGGAAAGAAATTTTATGTAACTGCTTTACTTAAATGTTAGGGGGAAATGATGGAATCAGCTAAAATTTCAAAAGCAATAATGGAAAAACCTAACCTACACATATCTATAAATATGTAGGGTATATTGAAAGACTATGGAGACAAATTTTGTGGCCACGTTATACAGTCAGACCTTTCAGATTTAGCCCCACACAAAAGTAGATGCCAAATATATTTAGTCTTTGAGTTCTTCCCTGTCCTACACAAAACTTGATCATTGATTTATAGGCCCAATCCTCCTTATTCACTGGAATTTGAAATTGTTCTTGATGCCATAAAATTATGATCTCACACACCAGCATGGATGAGTCCTAAGATAACATTAGCTAAAACATATTGATTGAGTGCTGAATTTGTGCCAGGAATTTTGACAGCTATCTTCTAAACATCACTTTATAAAAATTCTAAGATACATATTCTCTTATAGATAAGTAAAGGGAATATTGCAAGAAGCTAAATAAACTGTCCAGAAGAAGAAAAAGAGCCCAGAAACAAGTTTGTATGAATTGTCACTACATGGGATGGTTGGAGTTTTAATGCTACCTACATTGTGCTCCTTAACTCTTTCACTTTGGTGACAATTTTCCTGACATAAACAACTGCAAGAAAGGTTTCTATTGGCTGTGGTTTCAGAAGTTTCAGTCCCTAGACAACTGTGTCCATTACTTTAAGGATGAATCTTCACCAAGGCAGGGGTGTGAGGAGGAGGAGGCTGCTTACTTTATGGCAGATGGGAAATAATGACATAGAGAAACCCAAGACAGACACAGCCCGCCTGCTGGTCACCACCCCTGTGACCTACTTCCTTCAGATAGACTCAACCTTCTAAAATTTCTAGAAATTTCCCAAAATAGCATGCTCAGCTGGAGGCCAATCAACTAACACATGAATTTGTGGGGCAAATTCCATATTCTTTTTATTTAAATTAGAAACAATCTAATTTTACATATCAATCCCAGTTCACTCTGCCTCCTATCCTCCTATGTCCACCACCAACCCCATTCCATCCCTCTTCTGCTCCATGGAGGATCATCAAAGTCTGTCACAACATTTGGGGCAGGGTCTAGGCCTTTCCCCATATGTCTAGGCTGAGAGAGTATCCCTTTCTGAGGAATGGGTTCCAAATGTCCATTTGGACATTAGAGATAAATATTGATCAGTTGCTTCCAGAGGCCCCATAGACTGCCCAGACCTCCTAACTGTCACCCACATTCAGGGGGCGTGGTTCTTTCCTATGCTGATTTCTGAGCAGTCAGTCTGGGGTCTCTGTGCTCTCATTTGGTCAGGTCAGCTGTTTCTGTGGGTTTCCCCAGCCTGGTCTTGACACTTTTGCTCATCACTCCTCTCTTTCTACAACTGGATTCCAGGAATTCATCTCAGTGCTTAGCTGTGGGTCTCTGCTTTGCTTCCATCAGCTACTGGATGAAGGCTCTAGGATGGCATATAAGGTAGTCATCAATCTCATTATAGGGAAAGGGTATTTAAGATAGCCTCTCCACCATTGCTTTGTTTGTTAGTTGGGGTCATCCTTGTATATCTCTGGATATTTCCCTAGTGACAGATTTCTCTTTAAACCTATAATGGCTCCCTCTATTAAGGTATCTCTTTTCTTCCCCAGACTCAATCTTCCTGATCCCTCATGTCTTCCTTCCCCCTTCTCTTCTCCCATTATCTTTCTCCTAACTCCCTTTCCCCTCCCACCCCATGCTCCCAGTTGGCTCAGGATATCAAGATCTCCTGAGCAAATTCCATATTCAAACTATCATACTCACCTAATACACATTCTGATATCCAACTTGTAACCTCTGCTCTCTTCACCGCCACTAACTTGGACCTCCTCCAAACAGGGCCAATGAATTCTCATTGTATTTCTAAAACTGATAAAGGTCCACTACTCAGCTAAAGCCATGCTCCTGCCGTCTACTTTATCTACTTTACATATCTAGCTTCAGTCTAAAAAAGTGACCTCATTAGATTGAAAATCAGGAGAGTCATTCAGTAGTTCTCTTGTGATCGTATAATTTGGATTTTGCCATCTCATGCAGAATCCAAGCATTTATCTTACCTTCCATAGGTTCTGCCACTTGATAATCAGTGCTTCATTTCCTAGTGAACACAATGAATGCCAATAAGGCTTAAAACTGAAACAAAGATTTTTGTAACATTCATGACCCATTCTTCATTTAATAGAGTATACTGTTTATTTCATTCCTTGTGTCTTGACATCACAACAACAGATACAACAGGAAATATTCTGGGACGTAAGTGCTTTTTTTTTTTTTTTTTTTTTCTACACTGAGACCATCAAGTTTCAAGTCCTGCTTTTCATAAAATTTTTAGGTTTCAGACAGACAGAAAGACACATTCAGTTTAAATGAAGTTATGTCACTTGGGGTGGTAATGCCCAGTTTATCTAACAAAACTCCAATGGCAAGGCCTTGGAAACAATTCCAGTTGTTAATCAGGGGAGTCCAAGAGATCCTCCCAAGCAATACACTGTGTTGCCCGAGGAGGTTGTCTGATAAGACTCTGTTGTTGAAGACACCACACATTTTAGGCAGAGGACTTTGAGAGATCAAGCTGGATCTAATCTAGAAACTTGCTCCCAGAAAAAAAAAATAGCTCTCATAGTACCAAAAGGAGCAATAAAAGCTGCCAATGTAGAAAAACAATCAGTAGTTCTGAGAAGTTTATTAACCACAGCAATGACCAGCATGGTAAAATAGTGTCGCTTATATCCTGGGTAACCGACAACAATCTAATGGAACCCACTCAGAGAGATTCATGCCTGGATCTGTAATCACCTGTGGTTGGTGAGTGCATGGGCCCTGATGAGTCCAAGAGAACCTTCTACTTACACTTCCCTAAACCAACATAATTTCTAATCACATTCTAAATAAGCATGTGAGTGTATCTCTCTTCTTTTCACAAAGAAGCTTTCTTGCATCAAGCAGAGACCATCACAGAAATTTATAACAGGTCAACATGCAGAAAACAACTGGTGAGGGTGTGGTGATACACCTATAATTCTTCCCTTATACCTAAGGCTAAATCATCAGGAGGGTTTGGAAAAACTATAAGAGAAGATAACCAAGAAGTTTGTTCCAAAAATATTGTCTTTTATATATAACTGGGAAAATGTTACATATAATTAAATCTCAAAAATATGGTTGTCTAAACAAGACCCCCCAAAAAATGGCATAGCAATTGACCTGCCATTGTGGATGAAGGAAATCTCCCAAGTTCCCACCCCTAGATGAAAAGCTACCGCAATTAATAAGCTTCGGAGAGACAGAATCAATTGTCTTATGGATAGGCAATCTAATAGGTTACTATTTTCTAAGAGGTTATCCTTAAACACTTAAATATGAGCAATGCCAGATTAACTTAGTAGTTTTTATTTATGTTTACATATGTATATATAGTATGAATATTACAGATACATGATTTTATAGTAACAGAAAATAAAAAGCAATGAATTTGAGAAGGAGTAGAGGAGACTTAGAAAGAACTAGAGCAAGAAGAGGGTGGGGGAGATTATATAGAAACAGTACTCATATAAGAATTTCTCAAAAATAAATTTTCTAAACATTGTAATATATTTTGAAAGCTAACAATGCAAACACCAATAGCTTAAGCCTTACTTCAGAAAACTCTAAGATGAAAACAGGTCATCCCACTGGTATTTGATGCTAAAGACTGCAGAATGAACCAAAAATCCTCAGAGAGCTGTATGCAATATGATCAAATTCCTCTATCCTCTTGATTGTAACCACATGAACCACACCCTAGCTTTTAAGATAACCATATCCATCAGTGTCTATATATGTACATCCAACTGGGTAATCTCATTCTTAAAACTAGATCTTTATTAAGTGTAACATTGTGGTGATCAGTGTTAATTGCCAACTTGACCAAACCTAAAATCATCTGAATATGGTACTCTGGGTCAGCCTGTGGATGATTACATTTTTAAGGCTTTATTTATTGCATGGGGAGAAAAGAAGGGTGAGTGCTGTGGTGCAGATGTGAAAAATAGAGAACAACTTTTCAGAATTGATTCTTTCTTTCTATCTTGTGATCAACCTCATCCAGAGATCGAACTCAGATTGTCCAGCTTGGCATCGAGCAGAGTCATTCACTGAGCTATCTCCTCTTTCCCCAGTAGAGGATTATTTTGGTTGAGTTTTAGTTGAGGCAGGAAGACCCTTCTATTATGGATAGGACCATTCCCTGGGCAGGAAATCCAGGACTGTGTAAGCAGAGGAAGTGGGCTGAGCATGTGTTCATTATTCTTTCTGACTTAAAAGTCTGTCACTGTGACCCACATTCTCTGCAGTGATGGGTTGCAGCCTCAGATTGTGAACGAAAATAAATGTTTCCCTCTTGAGTTACTTTTGTCAGGGCATTTTATCAACTGCAAGAGAAAAGACACTAAGATAGCATTAAACAGAAAAGTCAACAAGTCATGCATTGATCACTTGCTAATATCCATAAAGCCAATGCTCCTATGTACCTAGCTTTCATGTCAAGGAACGGATAATTGTAGTCCCGCCAAAGTCACACATCCTCATGCTCATTTCCAGTGCCTTATGCACCTCACATACTGCACAAATATGACTGTTATCTTGTGACGTCTTACACAGAAGTTCTGTTTGCCTGTCCTAAAATACTGCATATGGAATTATGCATTATGCACTATTTTGTGAGCAGCATTTTCTCACTCAGATCCCTTCTGATATGAAGTTTGTTGTCATGGTTTATTGTGGTTCCATTTCTGCATAGTATTCTGTATGAATGCATCATGATTGATTTACACATGCCATGGTTTCTAAATATTCTAATAGATTTATCATTACCAGAGTTATAGTCAGGTCCAATTAAGGGACTAAGTTTTGGGTGAACGTGTTTATCACATTGTTCTGTTTGACTGAGTAAAATATGATCCCATTAGTAATAAACAAATTTTTTCCCATTTGGTTTTGTATTACACATCAATATGATAAGAGGATTTGAATTTGAGTCCTCATTCTGAACTTCATAACACCAGTAATTCTTTTCAGTTTCCATTATATGCAAATTTTAAAATAAATTTTCTTGTCTGTCATATCACTTTAGAACATTCAATATTTTTAAGTCAAATATAAAATATTACATTAGCCTATTCACCTCTTGCCCTGGAAAGAATGTGGGAAAAACTAAAATTTGTTCTTGCCAAATGGCTAGAGAACTAAAAACTAAACTGTTCCCAATATTTAGTCATCTGCTCTCCTTTTGCTCTTTTCACATTATCTGCACAATATTTTTAAGCAACTCAAAAGTTTTAGGACAGAAATAGTTATCCCATATTGTAGTAAATTGATTTTATTCAATGCCTCTCATGGATAAATTTAGTAAACAATCAAAGAGTGCCCTTTGGATAATTTTTCACAGGTGGGGAAATGGCACCTTGACAGGAGTTAAATAGATCCTGTAGCACAGGGAAAGCTCCTAGACCTCATGAGTCTGTGTTATTGGTATTTATAATATGGTGCTGGGGTTGGTCCCCTGATGAATTACTTCTTCGTCATAGAAGTATTCCTACTAATACTTACAGAGGACTGGTGATCAGTGGCAACCAATGATCAGTGAAGGGGTGTAGACTTCATAACCAGTCCTAGTACCTCTTATATTTTAAAGGTTGACTCCTTGCCCTGAACACAGAATGCTCTCTACATGTGTTCCCATTCTAAGCTTTCACTTGAAAGGAGAAGTGCAACACAAAACTAAAATTTCTATCTCAGACAGGAAATCCTCTGTCTTCATCAAGTTTCCTTTGCAAGCATAATTCAGTCAAGTTTCCCACATACACACTTGTAGTGCTAAACAATGAAAATGATGGTTCCAATTTACATGCTATTGATAAACTGCTAGCATAAAAGAATAAAGTCAAATGTTTAAAAAGTCATTAAAATCCTATATCAACTTATAATTTGCTTAATAAAGTTATATGAGCACACAGGTCTCATGCAGAGGTGACTTTTGACATTTTTTCCTCTCTCAGTCCCATATGTATCTCTCACAATTTATCCCCTAAACCCTTCCCAATAAAGCTTCCTTCTGTCTCCTAAAAAACAGTGGCTGTAGTACATGAAATGAAAACTCTCCGTAATTCTCAATCTAGAAATCCTAAATTCAAGTAACAAAAGAGACTTGGTACCACAAGTGACTCAGCATAGATGCAAGTTAGTTTTTGTGATTCTTGTCATTGATGTTTTTATACATACTCAGAAAAGGGGGATTAAAGACAATGGCAGCATCGGACTAGAAACTACTGGAAAGAGGGCAGGGTAGCAGGGAGGAGGGAGGAGCATCTGGCAACCTTTGAGAGGTTGGTGCATCTGCATTCTAAACAGCAGCTGAGTACACATTGAAACAGATAAGATCAGATCCCTTGGATATGCCCGAGGACAGTCAGAGTTGAGAGAGAAATATGTGTCAGCAGTTAGAAAAACACAAAATTAAAAGTTAAATCGACTTAGTTAATTGAGCTTAAATGTTTTTTTAATGCATCTTTCAATCCTGTCATATTTGTAATTGCTGTATTTCAAAAATTTACTGAAAAAAACTAATTAGGTACAATTTTTAAATTAAAAAATGACATTTTCAAGAAATTGCTAGACTAGCCCAGTGAATTAAAATGAGAAAATAGAACACTGAAAAAATAAGATGGTTTCTGGATCTTAAAACAACAGCATTCTGAATAAGTTCTACATATTCTCCAATCTTACAGTGGAGAAACTGGAAAGCACAGCCTTGTGCAGGTAACAAAGAGAAATATCTAAGGAGTGTCAACTGACAGTACACACATCATTATATATATTATTAGATTCCAACTGAGAAACATTCTTGGAATGTCAGTGCTCCTGAAAACTGCCAACTCAAGGTCATCAAGAACAAGGAAAATAAGAGAAGTTACCAGAGGACTTAAAACTATTCTAAAACTAAATGCAATACAGTATCCTAGTTGGGATTCTGGGTCAGCTAAAAGGATCATCAGTGGAAAATAAATGGACTTCAGTTGAGGCAGAATGTGTGGTGTGTTCGCTGTGGAGATGCCCCACACTACTGAGAGGCATTAGTAATGAAAACTGAGTACAGCTTGTGGGAACTTCCCATACTACCTTCAGAAGTCTATGTAAATGCCAAGAAAAGAATACATATCATGTCCTTTTATTGGGATGTAGACACCATAGCCATATTTACAGATCAGTCTTCAAGGTGTGAGTCACAGGAGCATTTTAACATGGGACTGTGCAGTTTTCCTTCTCAGGAAGTCCTTAAAGATAAGCTTCTATGCCTCTAGGGGTGATCAGAACTGTCTTAAGCAGGCAGAATGAACACCTTTGAGTTCTAAGGTTTATTTAACAGTGTTAGCTCTTAATTACCAGTGAGGCGATATAATTTCCACTCTCATTAGCATTCTAATCCAAGTCTAATATCTGTCTGAGTGATCATTCCTTCAATCACAGCATTAAAGCTTTATTCCCCTTTAGTGTACAAGTGTTTCACATCTTCCAATACAAGGGAAGAAGGTATGATTAGCACTGGTAATTGTCCAGGTCACTCACTGTACACTGACTGCTCTGTAGTTCTTAGTTATCTTTGGTGTGCTGGCCAATGAACATTTACACCTATACTAAGTTCTCTCCACCCCCATCCTCTCCAATGGATGACAGAAGCCATGTCCCCAGTATAAATCTTTTGCCCAGTAATTATTGGAGCCTGGGGCTTCTCTTCATTGGTGATAATGGAACATTATTGTCTTGAGTCTCTATCTAAAATTAATAGGTGGAAAGGAAATTATGCATATCTCAGAGCCATTGGCTTAAAGCTAGAAATCCATTGTCAGAACGTTAAGGGGAATTTTTTGTGTGTTTGCTTTGTTTTTGTGGTCTATTACTGGGACTTACTACACTTTCTCCTCCATTGCAAACTCTATACTCAGTCCTCTCCTACGGTCCATTATTCAACAAATATGCATTTGCGTACACATGTTTTTAAGTGAAATCATAGTTAGCTTATAGCATTTATGTCTGAGTCTTCAAAACTCTTCGAAGTCCCTTAAGGTGAGGTGTTCCTGGAACATCAAGGAGGCCACATTTCCTTTCTCTCTTAGAATATTTGACACACTTGAATGCTTAATAAATTTCAAATAACAAAGTCAGTACAGTTCATATAAACAAGCACATGGACGGGCCATGCAAGGATTTGCCTAACTGCAGTGAACTGGGTGTCCCTATAGCCCCTATATTTTCTTTGAATGCTGTTAAACATCTGCTAGAGGACTGGCCAGGCTGTTTCCTAAGTCTGAGAATGAATCTCCTCCTTGTCCTTGAACTTGTTAAGCTCTCCAACTTCTACTGCTTTGTCTGGCAGACTGCTCTACATCCTAATGACTTTTTGCAAGAAACAGAACCTCCTGGATCCAACATGCTGCCCTGTCACATCTGCTACTAGGCAAGCTTACTTCTGCAGCTAATGACTTCTTTCATTCTCTTTTTTTATTGAAATTTCCTGCCTGTAGTAAGAAAAAAGGAAATGGCTTGAGGAGGAGATAGAGTGAAGACAGTGAGGAGGAAAAAGGGAGATAAAGGAAGAGATGGAGCAGGGATGAGGAGAAAGAGAGGGGGGGGGGAGAGAGAGAGACTATATATATGGGGCAGTACCTAATTATAATTCAAGACATCCGCAATTTAATAAAAACAACTCCTCCAGAATGCAGCCATAAGGAAAGAGTTTCCACAATCTGTTCATCTGCATAATTAGTGATTGAGGACCTGGGAACAGTTGGAACATTGCTGAGGAAGGCCCAGGTCACATTATTGATAACATAAATAACAAAGATACAGATTTCCCCAAACTACAAACATCAGAATGTAACTAACAACAACCTAATAGGAGCACAGAAAACAAACAGAAAGCAGATAAACTCTGGAGCCGGGCGGGCACAGACTGGAGTCAAGCACATCACTCATCAGCATAAACGCCCTCAGGTTTCTTAGTCACCTAAAACACAAGAACGGGAAGTCCTCATTAGCAGGGCTTTCTGCAAGGGTGTGTGACTACAGCTGTGAGTACACACATTCCGTGAGGCAGACACTCAGACTTCACGCTTTACACATGGGAATAGAATTCATTTGGGAGAAGAAGAAGAAGAAGAAGAAGAAGAAGAAGAAGAAGAAGAAGAAGAAGAAGAAGAAGAAGAAGAAGAAGAAGAAGAAAGAAGCCGGGGTTGCTAAGCTAGACACTGTTATTTAATGTGGTGCATGGAAGAACTGGTGACATTTGAACTCAGCAGACTACTATATAAAGGGCTGTTAAGCACCTTGAATACCTTTAGAATGAGTCAAGTACTCACCTCCATTAGAAAATCATATGCTTCCTGTTACTAACTTGCAAAGGGCCTTGAGAAGGAGGAGAGCAGAGTGGAGTCTCTCCCACTATCCATCTTCTCTATTTCCACTTCTCACCATAGGACTGAGGCGATGCTGGAGTTGGCACTATTTGAGATGAGCTGACTAGAGTCAAAGCAAATGGAAAGGAAGACGAGGCCAAGATTCATCTCAACTTCCATGGCTCAAATGCAATCATTGGCTTTCAAGTCTAGCATGAAGTTTTATGTATATGGAAATGTGACTTATGAATAGTTCCAAAACAAGCATCAGCTATTGATAGGTCATGAGTCACAGATACACTGAGCATTCAGACCCCAGAGTCCCAGATAACTCTGGTTAAGGTGTGTGTGTGTGTGTGTGTGTGTGTGTGTGTGTGTGTGTGTGTGTACACATAAATCACAGTCTGCGACTTTCATTGCTTTGTGCCTTCAGCCAGAGTGAACCTTTTGCTGTGTAAACAAAGAACTGTGTATGAGCCCAAACAGTATATGTGCCAGCATAAGAGACAAGGAAAGAATGTGCAGTGCACATACCTCTGTCATGCACGACTGTCCTGAGGGAGAATACGTGAGCAGTTTCTACTTTTAACAATAGAAATGAAAATACTCATACTTTTTCAAAAGTGCATGCGGCTTTCTGCTTTTGGGCTCTGAAAACCACACACATACCTGCGGTTTTGAAATATCCTTAGGACAGCAGTCGGGATGATCTTGTCTCACTGGATGAATGAGATGAAAGAAAAGCTTGTCCTTTCACTGGGAATTTAAGCCATTCATGTAGAACTGTAATAATTGTACATTTCCTTATAGGGTGGGAGGCCGTGAAAGCCTACACTTGCTGTTATTCAAAAAGGGAAAGCCACCAGGAGGCTTTGCACTCTGAATTAAGTAGTGCATAGTTAACCTATGAAATACATCTGTCCCATCAATTCTCAGTGAGCTCGCACTCTGGTTACTCCTATGAGCCGTACATTCTTCTGAGCTCTGGAGTTAACAGGTTAACATGGCAGACAAGGTGGCCCTGCTCTAGGTTGCTCAAGAGCCTGCAAGAAAACTCACAGGTTGGTGATTCTGAAGAACCATGACTCTGAGGTGGTGAATCCTGCTGGCTCTGTGCAGGTGCTCTTACCTGCTATCTGTTAATTGGTTCAGCATGACTGGCAGAGGCCATCAACGAAGTGCAGCTGGTGAGAGGTGATGCCCAAGAAGAGGCTGAGTACTTGGATAACTATGGTGGGATGAGGTTAAATGCCTCAATATCCACAAATTGTGTATGTGATTATCAAAGAAGTTGAATCTAACAGATGGAGCATAATACACTTCAGAAAACCATAGCTGTACTGTACTATTTTCATTGGGTGACAGAGTTGTAGTGAATGTATTGTTCTCAGACTTATGGATTTCATTGATGGGAATAGTTAAAATACAACAACAGCATGAAGAGACTGCCCTCCAGATGTTAACTTTTAACTTCAAGAGAAGACATCTAATTTTCTTAAAGTGGGAAGAAGATCAGAATCAGCAATAGTAGTTTTTAAGGAACTACAGCATTTATAGGTAACACATATTAACTGTTGGATGTTAGGATAAATCATTCTGCCAAAAGCCACCAGAGTCCTACCGCCACATGGGCGCTTTCCGCCAGCCACCTGAGTTCTGCCTGCTGAGTTAGGTCCCCAAATAATACACAGAAACTTATATTAGGTACAAATGCTGCTTGGCCAATGACTAGGATTTCTCATCTCTTAGGTCAGTCTTCATTATCATAAATCTATATATTTTATAAGACTTATCTTATTTAGGAAGCCTTCCATTGGTGTCCTCATCCTGGGATCACATGGTGACTCTGGAGGAAGAGAGAAGGGGCCCACTTCCTTCTTGCCCTTGTTAATATATGAGTCTCCCTGCCATGTCACTTCCTGTGGAACACCACTTCTTTACTACATTTCCCAGAATCCTTCTTGACTCCTAGCCTAGTCCTGCCTAACTTGCTGCCTCATTGGCCAAACATTACTTTATTTATCATCCAATAAGACAAACACATACAAAGAAGCACTTCCCCCATCAGTTGGAAGATGTGACAAACAGTGCCTATGTGACAAGCAGCACTGATGGGTGCACTGCTGTAAGGGACATTGCTGTTTATTTCAATATGGATGACTAGAAACTGGCTACCCACCTTTCATACAAGCTGTAAGTCAATTTGTGAGGAGAGGAAGAGAGACAACCTTTGTAATCCAGATAAAATACTGCCTGAAACCAGGAGTTTCCTGTGGGTATATGCAAATTATAACTAGATGATCAATGATAATAACTAGTAATTCTGACCTGTGAGTCTAAGGACTCATGTGAACATACAGAAACTCAAAGCATGCCCTGGTAGCAGTCTTCTACACATTAACTGAAAGTCAATTTGCTTTAGCTGTCAGCAACACCATGCTTTATAACCCACTCCTAAGCCACCCCCTCAAGGATAAGCAGTTCACTCTTAATTCCTCACACAAGCATCTGAAAGGTCTGAGTCATCCCAGCAAAGCCCAACAATACTCTGTTGAGCCTAAAGGTTGCATACGAAGTAGAGAGACATTGAGTTTCCTCTGTTGTGTACTCAGTCATGGTTGTTTTGCTCTGTGTGCTGCTTATATCTTTGCTAATACATATGGCAAAACCAACATTCAAATTAAGTTAAATCTCTATGCTCAGCTATTCTACTGAGCTATGAGGCAGGCAAGTATTACTCTGTTTTATGGAAATTCCAATTCTCAAAGTAATAAACAAATCTCAAAGGAACCAGAAAAGAACTGTTGGATCCATGCCACACATTCTGTGTGGGCTCCCGAAACTGTATTTGATGATGGCAAATTTCCTTTTCAAAAACACACCAAACAAAGCTTAAGTTCCAGAATGCTTCCTGAGCCAAACTTGTAGTAAATTTTGCTTCTAGAAGGTTGACATCCAGTAAAGGACAAACAGAGTTGGATGAACTGGGCACTCATGTTATGGAATGAGAAAGTTCAAATAAGCATGTAAAGAGTCCAAGCTCTGATGCCATAGTTCAAATAAATAAATAATTTGAGGAGAGAGGATGGACCTTACTATCATGCAATATATAATTAAGATGAACTAACCTGCCCCCCAACCTCCCCCATCAACCCCTGCTTGATTCTGCCTGAACCCCCCCCCACAAGAGTGTACCTGCCCAGAACAGAAGGCCCACCTGAGTCTGGACACACCCCATCCTTGTCTACCCATAGCCTTCTGTCGTCTGGCTACTGCCAGAGGCTGAGCTATCCGCCTTCCACCGGAGAGAGGGAGAGACCCCACCTGCACCCACTGGAAGAAGGGATGGGAAGAAGACAGAGTAAGAACACACTCAACAACAGAAGAAACAATATGACACCACCAGAATCTAGGGACTCCATATCAGCAAGATCTCAAAAGCCCAACACAGAGGATGAAGAAGAGATGGACCTCAAAAATTATCTTAGGAGATGATAGAGACCTTTAAAGAGGAAACAAGAAAATCCCTTAAAGAAATAGAAGAAAAAACAAGCAAAACAATTACATGAAATGGAGGAAAAGACAAACCAAAAAATTCAAGAAGTATACAAATCTCTTAAAGAATCTAAAGAAAGCCAAGAAAAAAAACAACCAACGAATTGAAGGAAGCACTCGAAACAGTTCAAGGCATGAAAGCTGAAATAGACACAATAAAGAAAACACAGAATGAGGAGATGCTGGAAATAGAAAGGCTGGATAAATGATCAGGAAGTAAAGATGTGAGTCTAACAATAAGAATTCAAGGGATGGAAGAGAGAATCTCAGTTGTTGAAGACTCGATAGAGGATATACAGTCTTCGACCAAAGAAAATCTCAAGTCCAACAAATCCCTAACACAAAATATCCAGGAAATATGGGACACCGTGAAAAGGCCTAACATAAGAATAATAGGTATAGAAGAAGGTGAAGAAATACAGCTCAAAGGAACAGAAAACATATTCAACAAAGTCATAGAAGAAAAATTCCCCAACCTACAGAAGGATATGCCTATGAAAGTACAAGAGAGTCACCTCAACACATAATAATCAAAACACCAAACATACAGAATAAAGAGAAAATAAAGAGCAGCAAAGGGAAAAGGCCAAGTAACATATAAAGGCAGACCTATCAGAATCACACCCTACTTCTCAATGGAAACTTTGAAAGCCAGAATGTCCAGGATAGATATCCTACAAACACTAAGGGAGCATGGATGCCACCCAGACTACTGTATCCAGCAAAACTTTCAATCACTATAGATGGAGAAAACAAGATATTCCATGACAAAACCAGACTTAAACAATACATATCCACAAATCCAGCACTACAGAAAGTTCTAGAAGGAAAACTCCAACCCAACAAAGATAATTACACTCACAAAAATATAGGCAATAGATAATCCAATTTTACCAAACAGGAAAAGAAACAGGAGGGCGAAATACATACACAATGACACCACCAAAAATAAATCCAAAACAAACAAGAACCAACAAACAATGGACATTAATATCCCTAAATGTCAATGGTCTTAACCTGCCCATAAAAAGATACAGACTAACAGAATGGATACAAAGACAGAATGCATCCTTCTGCTCTGTACAAAAAACACACCTCAACTTCAAAGACAGGCGTTACCTCAGAGTAAAGGTTTGGGAGAAGATTTTCCAATCAAATGGGCCCAAGAAACAAGCTAGTGTAGCAATCCTAATATCTAACAAATTAGACTTCAAACTAAAATCAATCAAAAGAGATGAAGAAGGGCATTTCATACTCATCACAGGAAAAGACCATCAAGATGAAGTCTCAATCCTGATTATCTATGCCCCAAATACGAAAGCACCCACACTTGTAAAAGAAACATTGCTAAAGCTCAAACCACACATAAAACCACACACATTTATAGTAGGAGACTTCAACACCCCATTTTCACTACTAGACAGGACCACCAGACAGAAACTTAACAATGAAACAAAGGATCTAACAGAAGTTATGACCCAACTGGGTTTAACAGATATCTATAGAACATTCCATCCAAACACAAAAGAATATACCTTCTTCTCAGCACCACATGGCACCTTTTCTAAAATTGGCCACGTAGTTGGCTACAAAGCAAACCTCCACAGATACAAAAGAATTGAAATAACTCCCTGTATCTTATCAGATCACCATGCTTTAAAGCTAGAATTCAACAATACAAATTGCAGAAAACCTACAAACTCGTGGAAATGAATAACACACAATTGCACCGTTCCTGGATGGAGGAAGAAATAAAAAAAGAAATTAAAGTTTTCCTAGAATTTAATGAGAATGTAGACACAACATACCCAAACTTATGGGACACTCTGAAAGCAGTGCTAAGAGGAAAGTTCATAGCACATATGACAAAACTGGAGAATAGTCACATGAGAGAATTGACAGAACAATTGAAAGCTTTAGAGCAAAAAGAACCTAGGAGGAGTAGACGCCAGGAAATAATCAATAGAGAATTGACAGAACAACTGAAAGCTTTAGAGCAAAAAGGGTTCTTTGAGAAGATCAACAAGATAGACAAACCTCTATCCAAACTAAACAAAAGGCAGAGTGAGAGCGTGCTAATTAACAAAATCAGAAATGAAAAGGGGGATATAACAATGCACACTGAGGAAATCCAGAGAATCATCAGGTCATACTTTGAAAACCTGTACTCCACAAAATTCAAAAATCTAAAGGAAATGGACAATTTTCTGGATGGATATCACTTACCAAAATTAAACGAAGAACAAATAAGCAGTTTAAATCAACCTATAACCCCTAATGAAATAGAAGCAGTCATCAAAAGACTCCTAACCATAAAAAGTCCAGGGCCAGAAGGCTTCACTGCAGAATTCTACCAGAAATTCAAACAAGAGCTAATTCCAGTACTCCTCAAATTGTTTCACAAAATAGAAGCAGAAGACACATTGCCAAAATCTTTTTACGAGGCTACAATCACTTTGATATCCAAGCTACACAAAGATACAACTAAAAAAGAGAACTACAGACCAATATCCCTCATGAATATTGATGCAAAAATACTCAACAACACAAATCCAAGAACACATCAGAAAGTGAGGTAACCCAGTCACAAAAGGACAAACATGGTATGTACTCACTCATGTATATGGTTTAGACATAGAGCAAAGGATTACCAGCCTACAATCCTCTTCACCAAAGAAACTAGGAAACAAGAAGGACTCTAAGGGAAAAATGCATGGACTCCAGGAGTGGGAAGAGGCAGGAACTCCTGAGCTAACTGGGAGCATGAAGGTAGGTGAGAAGGAGCTGCCACAATGAGAGGAGGAGAAGAGAAGAGGAGAGGAGAAAATGGAGGAGCAGAAATATTGAGTTTGGGGAAGAATAGAGGAGAGCAGGATGGGAGATACCATATTAGAGGGAGACATTATAGGTCCAAGGAGACATCTGGTACTAGGGAGATTTCCAGAGACCTACAAAGGATGACACAAACTGACAATCTAGGCAATGGTGGAGAGGATAACCTAAATGCCCTTCCCCCGTAATGAGACTGATGAGTACTTTTTATGTCATCCTAGAGCCCTCATCCAGTGGCTGATGGAAGCAGAGGCAGACATCCACAGCTATACACTGAACAGAACTCTGGAACTTAGTTGCAGTGAGGGAGGAATGAAGATCTAAGGGGTC